GGCATCAACACTCAGTTTGAATATTAAAAAAAAGAAAGTTCTATTTTTCGTTTGATAAAAATTCTTTTCATTTCGATGAAGTATAATAAAAAGTATTCTTCTAGGACTGTTATCCACAAAATGTAATTAGTTCAATTCATTGAAATAGGTTAAGAAGAAAGTTTCTTAATGAATAAATAGTGCAGTCTTTGTTTTCTTTTTCTTTGGATGGGGATCGATGGGTATGAATGTGAGTCTTCTTCTGCCTCACAACACTCTGCACCCATATCATCTTCAACATTGTTACTGTTTAGAGGTTGCAATATTCTAAATAATGCAGTTTCTAATTTTTGAGCAGTTAAAAGATTTATATTCAAGATGTCAAGAATCATGGTTAGTAAAGTATTGATTTTCCATATTTGTCATATGAATAACATAAAATGAATGAATTGATTTACTTATAACTTTCGAAAATAAGCAGTATCAACACTTGCGAGTTGATTGAGATATCTAATACGATGTAAAAAGCTGCTGTTGCTGTAGATATAAAAGATATTTACAATAGCCTTATTAATACTTTAATTCAATGCTTACAATAGTAGCAATCTTAAATTAAGAAAAACACAATAAGAAAATGAGAAACAACCAAAGAATAGTAGAAAAAGTAAACAAAAAAAGAAAAGATTTCTGTTCGAAATACAAAAATAAAAAAATGTCAGCGATTGTTGACAATCGATCATCGTAGGAAAAACAGTATTATCTTTTAGAGATTTAATAATTTGGGTGTAGGTGTGAGTGTCGGATCCGGGTGCACCCACGCTTGAATTCATTTTGTGTATTAATCATGATATTAGCGATGGATTATTTCGTTTTTATTTGCTTAGTTTTTAGAATTAAAAAGTAATATTCAATTCTTATTTGTAAAAATATGGTGTAATGTAAAAACGAAAATTCGAACCTTTAACTTGTTTCCGAATATTTCATCACAATCATCAATATCAAACACGACTTATGTCATGTATCTATGTTGTATTCTTACTTGTCGGTATAAAGAATCTTTTTACATAGACAATCTTAGATACACATAGAGATAATTAGTCACGCATAAACATAATCATCATTGATTATATTTATTGGTTTTTTTTTTGTCCAAAATGGATGAATATAGGGAACTACAAAGTGTTCACTTCTTTTCTTACCAAAGGAATGTCAATTTTAAACAGAAAAACCATCATCGAAATTGCGTACTTTGAATGAAAAGAAAAAAAATAGAAATAGAAATAGAAATAAACCGAAATTTAAACTCATCATGTCAGCACTTCGTACAACTGGGATTTTACGATCATCAATGATACGCTTCCATATTCGACAACTTTCGCAATCCAATTATTTATCAACAGAACTGAACAGCCAAGAATCAATCATTATTCTAGGACTCAAATTCGGTTGTTATGAGACTAGTACTTTACTGGAATCGACACTTGAATGTCTTTATAATTCAGCATGTGTGAAGCTTCTTCAAAGGATTCATTTGCATGACACACTTCCTAACGGATATGAATTCAACGTACTTAACTCCTCTATCTCGAGTCATTTTCCATCGAATACAACTGTTCGGAATTTTCTTAACGAATTACTAGTCGAAAGTTGGTCACATAATGTATCATACTCAAACTACTATGAACAATGCTGAGCATCTACTTGCACATACACATATGAAAGTCGACTCAATCAGAGCTTTGGGAGCTCTATTTCGGTATCATCGTTAACTGCCACAAATCCAATCAATGTCGAGTACCATATCGTCATGAATCAATATCAACTGTCCTTCAATAATGTTTGCTTAATGTACCTGCAAAATAGTTTTATTTGCTTAGCAATCAGCTCAAAGTCTGGTCGTTCAACATGTAAATGCTGGTTGTCGTACAATTTACTCAGATGTTGTTCTTGTTTTTGTATTGCATTAGTTGTGCCATTTAGCTGTTGACTATTTTCCTTTTATCAATCCTGCAAAAATAAGGCAATGCACTAACCATTGAGTTTTCAATATGCATTTTGACTGTTTGAAGATTCAATGAAAACATTGATTATGTTCTTCAAGACAGTTGGTCGTCTTTTCATTTGTTTTTTCTTTATCGCAAAGGAAATCATATTAGATCATTGCTTGTTTTCTATTGACCTGAAATGATCAGTCCTAATATTTCCTACTCACATATACGCGGGTATTGATAGGGCCGAGAAGATTCTCGTCACTTATGCAGTCACCCATTCACATCTTCAATTTTGCTGCTGCATCTATTCGTATCATAAAAGATAAAGCCATTCAGTTATGCATGACGATTAATAAGGATATATTGTTGTTAAAAGGACTCAACAATTCTTTTTTTTAATTTTTGTTCATATGAATTACTGTCATTAGGAGATTCGTTTTTGAAAATGTTTCAAAATCATTGTGTTAATTAAGATTGCGAAGTGTAAACATACTATTTGCTAAAATTGTCTATGAAATCATCTTTTTCTTATTCTAAAGTTGTGCACTATCCCAATGTACTTAAGACAGTCCAAAAGCAGTGAGAGTGACACTTTAATATAACATAGTTATTTGACTATTCTTCACGTCATATTATAATGATAAAATTCCCATGAAATTTGTTTAGCTACAATATTTAAAGATAAAATTAGGGTGCGGATATGTGTGACTGTGACCTCTATTATCTTCCTGCAACACACATGCAGATTCGATCCACCGTAAGTTCGCATCCCAACCCATACCTCATCTACACCTACTCTCATTTACTGAGTTACGAATTCAAGTTAGAGAGTAGATTGCATGTTCAAAAATAACCTTAGAATCTTGTATTCATGCGAAAGATTGAAAAGTACATTCACTGTTCAAATGACTCAGACATCACTAGAATGGAAGCGATCATTACATGATGGCTTTGTTCTCGTCATTTTATAAGTTTTCAAAGGAAGCGGTGATGGTCTATCTTCTTCTTCACTGTTTTCGGGCGTGGATGACACTAACTGTTGCTGCTCAGGGAAAGTCGAACCATGTTTCGGCTTTCTTTTGAATTCGCGCCGATGTTGTTCCATTTGAAATGCCATGGATTGTTCACCTGGTCTTCTTGTGGTTGACGGATCTGTTAAATGTTGTTGACTATTAGTAGGTCCACACTGTAGATTATGAGATGTAGGCAGCGTCGTTTCTCTCTGTGTATGGAGAATTTCTCTTCGTTGATATTCTGACGATATTACTGACGATGCATCATCAGAGTCGTCTACTGACTCTCCTTCAGCCGAATCATAAGTCTCTCCTTCTTCAGGTATCTCTCCAACTATAGTGGCGGTATCGGTTGTGTCTTCATCGGTTTTCACTTCAATTGTAACAATTTGATTGGGTGATATTGTTATTGGTTCTGAGGTCACATTTTCGATTTCGACCGTTGTTGGTTCAGATTGAACCGGTTGTCTGTATGTTTTTTCCATATGTAAATAAGACACATATGCCATATACGCACTATCTAAATGAAATTTTGTTCAGTTGAAATAGAGTATTTAATTATCTAGTTCATGTGTTGTTATTTTTAAAAAGATAACAAAAATAGGGTAGATAAATGCTAACTGCAACAATGTTGATAAGGCGATCAGCAACTGTTTACATTTCAAATATGATATAAAAACAAAACCTTTCAAACTTTGAACTTTACTTCTGAATGTGATTATATTAAATCTCATTTATCGCGTTTGGACATTTGCTTTCACTCATAAGTAGCAAAGTCTAGTATTTTAAAAATAGAATAATGTAGTAATAACGACACTCCTGACATATTCAAAAAGATAGAAAAATCGCTTTCTACTAAAAATCTGATTGTTCGAAATCTTACCGGACTTTTCCCATTTGCGTCCATAAAAACTACAGTCAAATCGAGGCATCAGTAGAACATTAAATAAGATTCCTTTAGTCAGACGGAAAATAGATGAAAAAATGGCGATATGACAACCTAACAATAAAAAAAAACACCATATTATCTATTTAATTCTATCATTTGAAAAATAACTTACTGAAAATGAATGTTAAAAAAACTAGAATTGCATAAATATTTTTATTCAACGTGTTTTCTTCATTTTCAGATTGATGCGAAATAGTGAATATACATAACCATCGTGTAATACAGCTTTTCAATCCATATAAAACTATCACAGGTGCAACGAATGCAATTAATGAAACGATTAAATCCCAACGATATATTTGAAATGTAAAAGCGTGAAATGAAGAGAGACTACATATGGTAACAATGAATAAAATGATATGAAACCAAATAAAAAAACCACCAACTATGTTTAGAACAACAACACTAAGATATTCAACAGATGTCGAAGCTTTCGAATCCTGTTTTAATTCAGATTCTGGTAAAATATCTTTATAATCATTTTTCTTCAAATCTTCGGTATGTTTCTTATAATTCTTCATTCCCTGAAACAGTTGAATACTAAAGATAAGCATTGTGAAAAGAGCACTGAAAACAATCTCTTTGTTAAACGACCATTCGTCTATTTCTAAAAAAAATAGACTATTCATTGATTGATTGATTGAATAAAAGTAAATGAACTTACCAATATTAAAAATTTTCTCCAAACAGAATATCAAAAATGACATCGAATTCGTTTTCATAATAGATTGAAAGGCAAAGATACATGTCAGATAGTAAAGTAAGCTGAAGGCTATTGTGTATGCACACATAGTTATGGTAGTAAATTGAAAACTTCTATCTCGTTGACAAATTTGATTGATAATCTTTCGCAGCCAATTTGTTGAAGACGACTCTTGTGTAGAACATGCTGAACAGGACATATTAAATCCAACAGTTGGTGTGATTGGTGCTTCCGAAAATGTTCTTTTTTTCATCCAAGGTAGATAAATTAAATCATAAATCAAACGAATGATAAGTTCTGCAGCAATATATGACAGAAAAATGAATTGTGGCGCATTTTTGATCAATCCATAGATGATAATTTGATTACCGAGTTCCTAAATAATTTTTTTTTGTGATGATTCATTTAATAAAATATTTCTAGGCAAAACAAAACGTGTAACATACCAGTCGATGTTTTGCCTGATCAAATATTGAAAAACTTTTCGAAAGAGGTATGAAATCCATACATGAACAGTTACGAATGATAATATATGTAATAATACCCATAATATAGATAACGGCTAACAAACTAACCAAGCGATTTTTTTGTTGTAACGAGACAAATATTGGATAATAACGAATACTAAATATCGATTAAGTTTATATAAGAAATAAATAGAAAGAAATCTAACTGACCTATATAAAAGAGGAACTAAAGCACGATCTAAAAACTGCTTGAGCACACCTTGCTTCCATAATTCACTTATATCAATTAAAAAGTATTCGAGAGTCGTAAGCACTTCAATCATAACTATACCAGAAAGAGCAGCTGTTTCATATCGATTGGTTGTTCCGAAAGGTTCTATCGGTGATAAACAACTTTCTAAATCAAATTTACAATATTCAATCATCAATTTAAGTTATGAAATGCTTATACCACATTGACAATTTTTTAAACACATCGAAAAATAAAGGAAAAGATAAAATACGCCCGAAATAATAATAAAAATATAATTATCTATTTGCAAAATAGATTTACGTTCACATTGTTTAATCAATTGAATAGCATCCATAACCAGTTTCGATCGATTGATATTGTTAAGTTGAAATGAAGTTAAATGGTAGATAGTTGGAATAATACATAGCAAACAGAGAATGATCAATGTTAAACAAAGCACAAACAACAAACGGACGACTTTATTTCCTTGAATTGCGCTAAAAATGGCAAGAGTTCAGAATATATCAATCGCATTTCGTTCTCACAGTAGAAAATCTTCGCATAAAAGATGACTTCTTTACATGCACAGCATTCGATGCTTGTCTTGTAAAGGTAAGTGATCTCTTCTCCTTATGACTTCGTATTGTAGATATTTAGTCTCGACTCATCATATTCTCTGTATTAACTATACCTTCTGGCAATGTTGTTACTCGTTTATAAAAACAATTTTAACTTACTTTTCGGATGTTGATGCGTGCTGAGCACTGCCATCGCTAGTGCTTTCATTGTCTTGTCTACGATCAGACGTGCATGGTGGAGTCTTAAGCAGGCTATTAGAAGAAGAAAGAACAGTTACTAAGACGAGAACAGTTTGAAAACTTACTCGCTGAGCTTTTTGAAAAAAAGTTTTTGGTATTTCTGAAGTCGTTTGAATTTTAATATAATGAAAATAAATATAATTATAGAAGCACCAATTAAAAGCTGTATAAATTTCCACGAAACTACAAATTCATGAAAGAATAACCTCTGTCACACTATAAATAAAAATTCATTTACTTTTATCACAAATTGGACCATCCATATAAAGATAACATGAACATCTAGAAGTAACTAAAGTATTAATACAACGTCCATGTTTGCCGCATATATCATTGCCAAAACAAAAGTCGAGTACTATATTTAAAGAAAAAGACAGATGAAAGTATTTGTGCTACTTTTTATTCATATACAATGAATTATCTACCGTATTGACATATATGTTGATAGCTCATATCGGGATCAATGTTACTTATTGAACAAATAATTGTATTCGATATTAAATATCTGGTCAGTAAAAATACATTTGAATCACTTTCGACTATATTCCATACAAATTGATCACAGACTTTACGAATATCATTCAATTGTATTGAATCATCATCACTAATGAACGAATTGATTTCGTCTTTTTTAAAATGATCATTCTCATTTACAATTACAGTATTCGACATGGAAGATTGTGTAGTAGTAGGAGGAGGAAGAGATTGTGAATCAGTTTGTGTGCAAATAATATGATTGATTTGATTTTCATCATACAAGTTGCCTTCGTGTCGAGATTGGCAGATTTTTTTCTTCTTTCGGTTATAATAATTGAGACGAATTTGCCGAAAATTATCTTCTGCTGATTGCCATCTTTTTTCATCACCCTCTGTGAGCTTCTTCATGAACAATTTATCTAATAAAATATATATTTGTAAGATGCACAAAAAAAATCTAATCTGATATATCTTACTCTTTAATAAATGTGGATCGATTTCGATAAGTAATGCAGATAGATCGTGTTTGACTAAAATATCGGCGGCATAGAAAAATTCGACAAGATGTCGAATTTGCATCAATTGTGAATTATTGAAATAAGTTTGACTGCATGTTTGATTCGCTTCATGAACCATCGATGTCACATTAGGCAGATAGTAGCATGAACCGCCAAATCGTTGCCATCCTTTGGGACATCGCAATCGATTAACTACAATATACAAACAATGCTCAAACATGTATGAAACTGTTGATGAAAGTAATGCTGATTATTTAAGTCCATCTTAGACTAGTATAGTAGGGTCTTCAATAAATCAAGGTTTTCCAAGAAAGAGTTGGATTTTAGGCACATACATTGTATGTTAGAAAAAACTTAAGGTGGAAACGAAACAGTGTGGTGATTATTGTTCTTTTATTCCTGTTTACCATTGATTATTCTAGTGGCGTATTGATATTAATTGAGTGTGAGAAATTAAGTTAATCGAATACTTATCAAAAGTAGAGATCATTTGATCTAAAATGTTTTGACTCGGACTCGAAGCCGACAAAAATTCGAAAGTGCAGAATATTGAATCTGAATCCAAATTCAAGCTCTACTCGACAATCTCCGCTCAAAAGCCTTTGCTTTTTAGGAAATCACAAACGAAGGAAGTTAAATATGTCTGACGAATTTATCAGAAAAGAGTTAGTAAATAGTGAATACATAACTATGGTTCGGGTCCAAAAAATAAACTTCGCTTCGTGTTCGTCTGGTTATGACCAAACTCCAATGCGTCGGACTGTTAGAAAATTGATAAAAGTTAAATCAGGTTCAAGTGCCTTGTGATCCCAACATGTACTGGTCAAAATTACTTACTAATGTCTTGGCTTTTGCTTATAATCGACGACAATGTGTTTGTGAACGAAGAGAGATCATCGTGTTTGAAATCTTCAGGATTAATAGGCAGAGCTACTTGGCACGGTTTTATAAGAACAATGGTGACAAAAATAAACAAGAAACAGAAAAAAGAAAATAATCGAGTCATATCAACCAAACAGATCAGAACAATTGCTGTTGTCACCTTTTCTATCTAAAAAGACAAGTAGATAAAGAACTTTCATTTCGAGACCTCTGATTGTGGTTTTCCAAAAAATAATGCAGACAAATCGTTGAAGAATTCACGATGCAGAAGACCAATTCAAATCTTGAGAACTACTAGGTGAAAAGTTATGAAACGTTAAGAGCCGATAGATCTCCATGAGTAGAACAAAAGCTGTTCTAGACTCAAAATTCTCAGATGTTTTCTTCACAGAAATAACAGGGATCGCAAAAACCAAAAATAGGTAAAAGTTCTCTGACAACTAGAATCAAATCGGGACACACCTTTTTTTCTTATAAAAATATCGTTTCTACAGCTCAAAAGTGAGAAAATACTGAATATACTATCAAAAAACGTGTTTTTATTCAGTAGTGCTAATTTTATAAAAGCCGTCAAAGGACGGGGGCGGATAAGGATCGTTTTTGGATTCTCGTCAGTTCATGGTTTACTAGATGCAAAATTTTATGAAGAATCATTTGGTAATAAAATAAAGCTATTTCTGAAGGATCTAGACTCATTTTTGCTCTCAATATTGATATTCATTTTTGTATCATAAATGGATAATTTATATATAGAAGAGATAATCCATGTAAATTTTCTCATACTAAGATACTTCTAACCGAAAACTATTTCAATCGAATATCCATCCTATAGTCCATCTCTAATAAACATTTCAACTTGACCGATTGAAGTACTGCTGAGCTATGAGGTAAATATTAGTCCAAATGAGTATGAGAATTATATAGTTATATCATCACTTCTATTCACTTCTGTATAGTGTTTTCTCAATATCTCGAGAAAGGAGAAAAATAAAATGGGGTTTTGATTGATTCTAAAAGCTCGAAGGAAAGGCTATAAAACGAGATGTTTTTGAATTTTTTTTTAGAAGTGGCCTTTGTTGAAAAAAGAGCACGTGAATCTCATTTTGAGACACCATTTTTAACTGATATTTAACCGATTTCAATCAGAAAGAGTATGATTTGACTCAAAACAATAACATATTTGAAATCAGCATTAAAACTTGAATAGACTTATATATGTTTCACAGTTTTTCGTTGACCTTTTTTTTTTCTTGAAAAATCCTCCTGGGATCTCCCTCAGGATACAAGCAAAAAAAAATGAATTTAATTAGAAAATCATTTGAACAGTGGAAAATAGCTTCTGAGCTTGTAAAATGTTAGTAGAAAATGAAAGAAGAAATAAGTAAACAATAAAAATGATGTTTTGATAAAATTCGCTTTTTGCTTGTGCCGTGAGAGACTCCTGAGGGAGGTCCCAGGGGGATTTTCTGAGAAAAAAAAGATTGACGAAAAACTGTGAAACATATATAGGTCTACTCAGTTTTTAATGCTGATTTCAAATATGTTATTGTATTGAGTTAAATCATACTGTTTCTGATTGAAATCGGTTAAATACCAGTCAAAAATGCGAAAACTGGTGTCTCAATGAGATTGAAGTGTTCTTTTTTCAACGAAGGCCACTTCTAAAAAAAATCGAAAAACACCTAATTTTGTAGCCCTTCCTTCGAGGAGGGCTGCGCGAATACAAGTACAAATTGTATTCTGGAAAGAATATGACCCTCTCCCCTCCAAACTTAGAATTTGAGAATTTGTAACGTTAGGTGCTCTCATACACTCTCATGTATTCTAATGTACTGTAATATATTCTGCAGTGCTGGGGGAAACCCGGAATTTGTACCCACCATGTACTGGGAAAAAATCTAGGATTTGTAGAATTTGTATCATCATGTACTCTCATGTGGTTTCATGTACTGACACTCACACCCACACTCAGTACATGACAGTACATGAGAGCACATAGGGAGTCGTAATCTTTCCTGAGTACAAATTGTATTTGTGTTCGCGCATCTATGTATGGATTATCCCTTCGATACATAAATCATTCATTTATGATACAAAAGTGGATATCAATATTTCGAGCAAAAATGAGTCTAGATCCTTCAGAAATAGTTTTATTTTGTTACCAAACGATTTCTTATAAAATTTTGCATCTAGTAAACCATGAACTGACGAGAGCCCCACAACGACCCTTATCCGCTTCCGTTCTTTCACAGAAATAATATTTCCAAGAAAAAAAAAGACACACTCAAGTTTGAGCAAACTGCTCATCAAAAAAAATTTTGAGCTTGATCGGTTATATCACGGGGAGAAAAGGGAAGAAAACTTCAATGTCTTATTCAAAAATCAAGTTTTGAGAAAAAGGCGAATGGAAGCTGAGCTTTTTTTGGTTTTTTTCAGCTTATTTTGTAGATTTCCTCGGATTTTTTATATATAAAATATAGATTTTCAGTGCTCAAAATGTGCTTGCTAGATAGAAAACATTTAAATCTATATACTAACCACAAAAACAAAAAAAAATGGAGATTTTGAGTCCCCTTAAATGAATTTCTCAAAAGAAACAAACGCGAAATTTTTTTCCGATAAGTATTGAAAAAACTTTTTGATGTATGGCAGTGTAAATCTAACTCTCACTCACCTTTTTCCCACTTTGTTAAAAATCAAATGACAGCTATATATAGTCGTGACAAAAGGAAGAAATTCATGGGATGGAAAATTCCATACTTACGGAAGAAAGAAAAGAAAAATGTCAACGAAGAGAAGGAAAGAGAACAACAAAGGTGGCGAAGCAAAGAATATATCTGATTACCCAACAAACAGCGAACAATATTTTAAGTGTATAAACGACTTTTTCAGTAAGATCAAAACGTATTTAACAGCAGCGAAAGTATTTGTAATAGATAATATCAATACTGGTAGTCTCGTTAGTCTTTCAGTATTAATATTGTCTTACACAAATGCATGGGCACTACAAAAGTTTTTTCGCTCGGCTCTCTTAAAAGACTTGACCAAGAACTAACTATACCACTATAATGCCCAGAGATATTTAGAATTATGTGCAAAATTTCAGACTTCTATGTCTTGTGGTTTGTTGTAGTCTATCATTTCTTTTATGCTAGGTATACGTGATTTCTAATATAACACATAACGGGTTTAATGATCGCGTTAGGTTTATCAATTTTCAATTCTTTAATAAGTTGTATTAAAAAAAACAAAAGACATAACAAGATGCAGCTTGCAAAACTCTACAATTTACATACGACCACTTTTTTGATAATTACACATTTTGCTCTCAAAATGAACAAAGCTTTGAGCGGTCAAATTTCGACGCTGCAAAACAATAACACGAACGAGAAATTTCTTTGTTCTTGTTTCACGATTTTATTGCCTATACAGATTATACAGCTTTTCACGCTGCACCTTGCGAAATATTTTGGTTTTATTTACGACAACATATTAGGTGATAAAAGATGAGATAAGAAAAAAAGAGCTCATTCTGTACAAAAAAATAGTTGTTGTACGGCCGGAATATGGTTGGTAAACATTTTATTCGTTTTGAAAGCAAAACGTGCAACTATAAAAAAAAAAGTGATCTGCTGTAAATTGTAGAGCTTCACACGCTGCATCTTATGATGTAGTTTATTTTTCTAATACAACTTATTAAAGAATTGAAAATTGATATGCAAAACGTGACCATGGAAGCTGCCTCACTGGTACAAAAGAAATGATAGACTACAACAAAGCACAAGACTTAGAAGTCTGAAGCTTTGCACATAATCCTAAATATCTCTGGGCATTATAGCGGTATAGTTAGTTCTTGGTCACGTCTTCTAAGAGAGCCGAGCGAAAAAACTTTTGTAGTGCCCCATGTATTTTTGCTGCTGTTGAGTAAAGTAGTCTGTCGACTCACAATGCGACGGCCGAAAGGATTTATTTCTTGGAAGACGACGCGTTAGACATGTGTGTAACGAC